GCTCTCGGCCTCGGGTCGGCGACCGACGTTCGGTCCATGCCCCATGCCGCTGCCTCCCGCTCTGGGCGCCAGGGGAAGCAGGGCAGGGGCCAAGACAAGCGTGGCCTCGGAGGCCAGGAGTCTATCCGCGTCGCGTCTGGAGCTGAGATGGCCAGACCACGAGGGGGTACGAACAGATTCAGGCCAGCTCGAGAAAAAACCTTGGACAACATGGATGGGGAGGGAGGGAGGGAGGGAGGGAGGGAGGAGGCGGACGAGCTGCGAAGAGAAGGCTGGGAAGAGGGAAACAGAAGGCAGGGAGGAGGAGGAGGAGGAGGAAAAGGAGGAGGAGGAGGAGGAGGAGGAGGATCTTCACCCCTTGCTGGACCCTTTCTGGGGCCCTCTTGGGCCCTTGTTGGCCCCCTCGCCGTCTGGTGGTGCGGGGGCCGCGCCCTGGAAACATGGGGCCGGCGGAACCGTATTTTCGGCCAGCTTCGAAACCTGGCGAGACCTGGAAAGGGTGGGCGATGAGCGCGAAGCGTCTTGAACAAAATTGTGAAACAGTTCCACGGATAGAGGGCGGCTTGTTCTCAGTTGGGCTCTCGCCTGACAGTTCCTCATGTGTGTGTGTCACCAGCGACAGTACCACGGGATCAGGGCGGTCCCTTTTCAAAGCGTTCTTGACAGCTCTTTGAACTTATGTCCCCACCTTGTCGCATGACTGGAGCTCCCGCCGTCTGAAACCTTCGAAGTCCGATGTGATGCTTCCAATCCGCGGAACCAGAGCCTCCGACTCCTTCATCCACTGGGGCGGTTTCTCGCCCCAGATTCGTGTCGGGTGGTCCTAAGGCCCGAAAAGGACACCCCAAAAAAACAAAAACAAAAAGCAACCTCGGAGGCCTGGGATCCTCGACACCCGACCCTCTCCCGGGCTCTGGCGGAGCCCGAAGCCCTCTCTCTGGCAGTGGCGGAGGTGGTTCCGCTGCGCCACCCACTGAGAGAGGGGCATGACCGCAACCCCGCTGGCCACAGGCCACACGGAGCTGTCTATCTTCTCCCTCTAGCCTGAAGAAGATTCTCGACCCTCCTCCTCCTCCTCCTCCTCCTCCTCCTCCTCCTCCTCCTCCTACTAGTCCTCCTCCTCCTCCTCGGTGATCCTCAATCGTCATCCGCCTCCATCCCTGTTCCATTATGAATAAATCCTCCATGTCACACCCCAAGACGTGTCGGTAAGGCGGGCCTAACTTTTCGCCTGAGACTACCACGTATGACCCAGAAGCTCAAGTTTTGCAACAGCTTCACAGTCGTTTTCTCTCACCTTCGTGTCGCGCACATTCATATTAAACAATTGCAGCAGCTTGACGGATGAGGGCAGGTGGTTTTTCAAAATGTGGCTCTCGCCTCAGCGCCGCGCACATTCGTCTTAATGAATTGCAGCAACTTCACGAATGCAGGGCAGGTGGTTTTCAAAGTGTGATTCTCGCCTTAGCGCCGCGCACTCTCATTTAAAAAGTTCGCAACAGCTTCACGGATGGAGGGCAGCTCATTTTCAAAATGTTGCTTTCGCCTCAGCGCCGCGCACATCCGTCTTAAAAGTTTGCAATACACTCAAAGACTCTTATGGCTGTCGTCCGAGGAACGGTGTTCCGGCACGATTTGAGACTGTCAGGGCACGACAGTCACATGTCAAATTGATTCGCGGTGTTGGAGTCCCAGGAATGTTCTGGCACAACTCCAGGATCGTCAGGACGCAACAGTAAAGCTCATCCGCGGCGCTGAAGTCCCAGGAATGGTGCTCTGGCTCAATTGAGGTTTCTCAGACGGCTGTCTCCCAACGGGGCACTTCCCGCAGTGAAAACAAATTCTTGTAGAAACCTACGACCTACGAAGAGGGAACTTGGAAGGAGGGATTATTGCAACATCGTTGAAGCATCTTGGGCTAACACTGGTCCACCTCCTCCTCCTGGATCCTCCTTCTCCTGCTCGGTTCTCCTCAACCTCCCCCTCGTCCTTATCCGCCTCATCCTCGTTCTCCTCATTTTAATCCTCCTCATCATCATCATCATCATCATCATCATCATCATTACCAACATGATCAGCATCACCACCACCATCATCATGATCATCATGATCATCATCATCATCATCATCATCATCATCATCATCATCCTCATCATCATCATCATCATCACCACCACCACCACCACCATCATCATCATCATCATCATCATCATCATCATCATCATCATAACAATCATCATCACCATCACCATCACCATCGCCATCATCATGATCAGCATCATCATCTCATTATCACCTTACCGACACCATCAGCATCACCATCATCATAATTAGCAGCATCCTCATCAGCAGCATCCGCATCGCCATGATCAACATCACCATCATCACCATCATCATATTCATACTCATCATCATCATCATCATCATCATCATCATCATCCTCATCATCATCATCATCATCATCATCATCATCATCATCATCGTTATCATCATTACCATCATCATCAGCACCATCATCCTCATCATCATCAACCTCATCTTCATAATCCTCGTCATCATCATAATCATGATGACCATCACCATCATTAGCATAATCGTCACCACCCTCATCCTCATAATCATCATCATCAGCACTAACATCATCATCCGCATCACCACCACCACCGGCAGCATAACCTCCACAATCACCAGCATCAACATCCGCATCTGCACCATAATCAGCTATATCATCATCATCATCAGTATCAGCATCATCATCAGCATCACCATCAGCATCAGCATCATCATGAGAAACAACATCCGCATCGCCATCATCAGCAGCATCATCATAAGCATCACCATCAGCATTAGCATGATGATCACCATCATCAACAACACCTTCATCCTGATCATCAGCATCTTCATCATCATCATCATAAGCATCAGCATCAGCAGCATCATCAGCAGCATCGTCCTCACAATCGTGGTGATCATCATCATCATCATCATCATCATCGTCACCATCAGCATCATCAAAGGCGTCATCATCATTTTCAGCATCATCAACATCACCGTCATCACCATCAGCATTAGCATCACCATCATCAGCATCACGATCATCCTCATCAACACCATCATCAACATAAGCATCATCATCAGCAGCATCATCATTATCATGGTCATCGTCATCATCACCACCACCATCATGAACAGCATCATCATCCTCATCATCATCCTCATCATCATCATCCGCATCGCAATCCTCGTCCTCATCCTCCTCAGAATCATCATCACCATCATCATCAGCATCACCCTACTCATTAGCAACATCATCACCACCACCACACCATCAACGTCACCACCATCACCACCACCATGACCATCACCACCACCACCACCATCACCACCACCACCACCACCATCACCACAGCCATCATCATCATCCTTATCCTCATCCGGTTCACCATCAGTGTCGTCATCCTCATCAGCAACCTCATCCTCCTCATCCTCCTCATAATCGTCAGCATCATCATGATCCTCATCATCCGCACCATCATCATCCCCTCATCCTCAGACTCATCCCCCCCATACCCTCCTCCACGATCATTTATCGCCTCGACCATCCTGATCCTACTCTTTGTTCCCCTTCCTCGTATCATCCTCCTTGTCCTCCTCCGCCTCCTCATCATCCTTACACACACACACACACACACACGCACTTCCAGAATACCAAACACCGAAGTGGAGCTACTGCTGCTACTGCAACTGCACACCGCTCAAGGTGCAACGGAAGGGGAGAGAGAGAGAGAGGGAGGGAGAGAGAGAGAGAGAGGAAAATACGAGAAGGAAGAGAGAGAGAGAGAGACAGATGAACAAAAACAAATATTCCCTACCTAGGCTCTGCCTAAAAAGGTTCTTACTCTCTTAGCTTAAAGGGGCCGGGCAGTGGAAATCGCCCCGGGCGGTTCCCCCAGTCCCCGACCCGCGGTTCCCCCCAGTCCCCTGGGAGCTTTAGCTTTAGCTTTAGCTTAGCTTTAGCTTAGCTTTAGCTTAGCTGTAGCTTAGCTGCAGCTTAGCTTTAGCTTAGCGTTGGGCTTAGCGTTTCGCTTAGTTTTTCGCTTAGCGTTTAGCTTAGATTTACCTTAGCTTTGGCTTAGCTGCAGCTTAGCTTTAGCTTAGCTTTAGTTTAGGTTTAGCTTAGATTTAGCTTAGCTTTAGCTTAGCTTTAGCTTAGCTCTAGCTTAGCTGTAGCTTAGCTTTAGCTTAGCTGCTGCTCAGCTTTAGCTTATTTTAGCTTAGCTTCAGCTTAGCTTTAGCCTAGAATTAGCTTAGCTTTAGCTTAGCTTTAGCTTAGCTTTAGCTTAGCTCTAGCTTAGCTGTAGCTTAGCTTTAACTTAGCTGCTGCTCAGCTTTCGCTTAGCTTTAGCTTAGCTCTAGCTTAGCTTTAGCTTAGCTTTAGCTTAGTTTTAGCTTAGCTTTAGCTTAGCTTTAGCTTAGTGTTCGCTCAGCTGTGGCTTAGCTTTAGCTTAGTTTTAGTTCAGCTTTAGCTTAGCGTTACTGTTACTACTAATGCTGCTTTCCTAGGGGGTTCAACTCCTAGGTAGGGTCGCACTGGGATAAGTGTTTGTGTTGTTGTCGAATACAAAAAAATAAAAAAAAAACTTAAACAACGTATGTTTTATGTAAAACAAAAAAGAGAAAGAGAGAGAGAGGGAGAGAGAGAGAGAGAGAGAGAGAGAGAGAGAGAGAGAGAGAGACCCCCCCCCAGCTCCTGCACCGCGCCGCCGCCACCACTCGGGCGAAAACGGGCAGGAGGGGGGAGAAGGAGGCCCTCACTGCCCCCAACAGCTGCAACCACCTATCCTCAGATCCCACAAGATCTCCCCAAGGCCTCTCCTTAAAGGGCTGATGCAACTCGGCCCATCCAGCGCCCTAAGCTGGAGTGGGGAAAGGATGACACCGACAGCTCAGAGATCCCCAGATACCGAGAAATGGCAGCACCCCATAAAGAACCTCTACGCTCAGTCACGGTCGGCGTCGGCGTCATCAGTCACGCCCTGGCCAAAGGAGCGCAACTCCGACTTATACTTGGAGATGCGGCCCCACAGGGCGCATGACTCGCGCGAAGCTGTCTTGCGCAGGCCACGCTGCGCGCCCACGATTCGCCTTAACCTCTTGACCACGCCTTCAGCGCAGCGGTCTCAGAGCGGCGCTCGGGGGCAGCCTTGGGCTTCACACCAGCACCTGATGCCTTGGATGGGGCCTTAAAAGAGGCCCCCCTCAGCTGGGGCGGAGGGGGCCCCTGCGGAAGCGGGGGCTCGGCACCTGCGAGCCTGCGGCCATATGGCCCCCTCCATTTGGAGACGGGCTGAAGGGGTCTGGCCCTGGGCAGGGCTGCGGAGGCGGAAGGGCTGGAGGCACCTGCACAAAGGGCTGGCTCACACCCACTGCTCCTCTGCATCCCCTGCTGCTCCTGCTGCTGCTGGTGGCACTGGTGCTACTGCGTGGTGCTGCTGATCCCCGAACCCTGAGTAGTCGTAGCCGTTGAACGTCCACTCAAAGTCGGGGCCCCAGTTCCAGTTGCCCCCGCACTCGCATAGCTTGCGGGGGTTGAAGAAGAGGCGCGATTCGAATATCCATCCTCCACAACGAGCATAGTTCTCGCAGACAAAGTAGGCGGCCGCGGAACGCGACGACACGGCAATTTCTGGGGCTGAAACAGGAAAAGAGCAGCCAGCAGCTTGAGACAAAACTATCAGAGGAAGGGCCGTTGAGGTACGTTCCTGCACGCTCCTGCCACGGTCCTTGCCCTGATTTCCCACGCGAGAGAACTCTACCACTAAAACGTAGCGGCATCATGAAATGTTAAATTGGATCCTGGCACTCGTCGCTCGCGAAGCTCACGGAGCTCCGAGCGCGGACAGAGGCCACACAGCTTGGGGGCATTCTTAGCCCACGTGGTGAATCCACCACACTGGGTGCAAAACACAGCCGGCATGTCGCCACTGCCTTTGATCCAGCCTAAGTGCAGGACATGTTGTTGTGTGCGTGCCTGTGTTAAAACATTCCTGAATGCTGCTGGCTGCTGTCTACAAGGTTTCTGCGCGCCTGGCTTCACCGCTGCAAAACAGCTCTCACATCTGAGTCCTGACCCATGCCATATGGGAGCATGCTGCGTGACAAGTCTTCTTCGCTGTCTCTGGACAGCCGGTTTCTCGAGGTTGTCGTAGAGGGCCTCGATGTCAAGCCAGGCGTCTACTAAAAGACCTATTCCAACCGAGAGGTCCTCATACATCCGCACACTAGCCTGTCACTCCACTGCCCGACCCTGCCCTCCTGCATGCGCTGATGCTGCTTGCCATGCATGATGGTCAGCTGCTCTATTGGCTGGGATGAGGTAGGCGTCCTCCTCGTCGACTGCCTGCTCCAACTTCCCACGCGCCTTGACCTTCCTGAGCCGGGGCCAAGCAGGAGGCCGGAGGAGGTCGCCGACCGCGCGCCAGCAAGCAGCTAACTTACAGTGCCCACGGTGAGCCCCACCTGAATTTCGACCCTTCATGGGCCCTGAATAGTCCAGGATAAGCGGGGCAGTTCTGGGATGCTCCGAAAACTGCAGGGCCATCACCACACTGCCACGCCCCGCATTGCTGGAATTTTGAAGAAGCCAGCCTGGGAGAGGGGAACCAACTGCACGTATAAGCTCGCCAGGGGGTGCGATTTGCGCTGCCCCGCAGCCTGCCCGAGAGACCTTTCCAAGTTGGGCCCAGAGCTTTTCCATCGATATAGATCTGTAAACCTGCTGCAAATAAACCTGGATCACAAGGCCCATGGATATCGAAATGTTGAGAGCACCAGTCGTCTGCAACTGCTGGAGGGTCGGGACGAGGTGCCCATAGACGGCAGAAGAGACGGTCTCCTCGCCCTGCTGCTACTGCATCTGCTACGAAGTTCTCTAACACCTCCTGTCTAAGCTCCTCATAGAAACAACGCGCCCACATGTGATTGCACGTCGTGTCCTCCTGGCCACAGCACGGGCAGACTCCTGAACAAGTGCAACCCCATTGTTGAAGACGTTGTCCTACTGCGTATCCTCCACAAAATGTTGCCCTGCATCGCCCTTTTGCCGCGCTGTTAGTTTCTCCGCCCTGGTTGACTGAAGTCTGGTCATCTGGAAACTTGGACCTGGCACGCTCCTGGGGTCTTCTGGTTCAATACATCCGCCACGAACGCCTGAGCTACAAGACGTGGAGGGCTACACAACAAGCTGTTTGGGTTGCCCTGCGAGTCCTCGAAGTGAGCGGGAGAGAAAGCATTAACCAGTTGCCTGCTCGCAGCACTTTAAAAATCATGTTTACAGGGCCCGTCGTTTGCCCAAACCACGTTTTGGCTTTCGTGGTTCTGAGATGGGCCTTGGCCGACCTGAAAGCTGCATTCAACTCCTGGGGCGACAAAGCGTCGGCATGCAAGTTCTGGCTGTGGCGCGGCGCTGTCGTGTTCCACCATTCCAGGGCATAACGTTCAAGCCCAGCTGCCGCCAGATGCAGTGGGCCCTTCTCAGCTGAGCTAATGGTAGCCCACAATGGGTCAGAATGGGCCCGCTTCTGGAACCAAGGTGAGGCTGTCGCCTGAAGGGCCCTTAACATGCGGATCTCACCCGGGGTGAATCCTGTCGCGGCCGCGCCGCAGTGCATTGTGGACCGCATTCCAGTTAAGAAGAAGATTCCTCTCATTTGCTTGAGTTTGCTTTATCTTGCTGCCCTTCATGCGGTGAAGCTTCTTCGCCTTGGCCGCGAGCGCGAGAAGTCGTCGCTCGCGCACTGCTCCAGCTTTGCCTTGACTGGAATGCTTGCCGGCCTGGAAATCGATGCCCAGATTTCCCGCTGACCAAACTTTTGTGCCAATGAGCTCTTGTAGCACTGCTTTAGCTTCGTCCACAGTAGCAGTACAACTACCAACTACATCAATATGTGGCATAGCAGGCGCAAGCCAGAATGCATGCGAAACTAGGTTCTCCAGCACTGTTGCCATGGAAAGGCCCTAACAGGAAAGCGCGAGGTCATCAATGCGCAAGCTATTCATACAATCTGGGGGCATCACCTCACCCATGATGGGGAGGAGAAAAGCTTTCGCTTCGCACGTCGCTGGGCCACTGCCTGTCGCGATCTCTGTCTCTCTCTCTCTCTCTCTCTCTCTCTCTCTCTCTCTCTCTCTCTCTCTCTCTCTCTCTCTCTCTCTCTCTCTCTCTCTCTCTCTCTCTCTATTTTTTTCTCTCTCTCTCTCTCTCTCTCTCTCTCTCTCTCTCTCTCTCTCTCTCTCTCTCTCTCTCTCTCTTTCTCTCTCTCCGAGAACACCCGCGCAGGGCGCGCCCCATTCAGGGGAACCCGTCGAGACCAGCGACGCAGATTGATCGAGTACATACGGACGCGTATTCGACACTTGCTTCTCTCACCATGTCCCCAGAGAGTGCAGTGATCCATAATTCGTAGAAGCTTTTTAGATCCCATAGTGCAGCTAAAAAGAAGCCCACACACACTAGCTGCTGCTTCGCAACGAACGCTTGTCTCCATACCGTGTCTTCCGGATTTCTACTCTGACTGGCACTGAACTCCCCCCCAGCCCGCACCCCCCCCCCCCCCCCCGGCCCTTGCAGCAGCGCGCGGAAAGCTTGCCGTGCACTCGTACCGTTGCAGGGAGAAAACCATGCACCTTCTGCCTCCCCCATGTGCGCTAGAGGGCCAAGAGTAGCTGGAGAGCTCGTACTTGTTAGAGGGCTTCCCCAAGCACATCCATTAGAACATAGAAGAGACCTAACACCTCCAGGTTATCATCACAAGCAAAGCCTACACGCCGTGGATGATACCCGTCTGGCTGACACGCGCGCCCCTTAAAGCCCGCCGCTACTCTGCGAAGTGCTACTGGGGGCACAAAACCTGGGACCTCGCATGTGCCTCTCTGCTTCAACCAGTCCGGACTCACTGGGGTTCTGAGGTAGCTGCCCACTTCTGAGACCAAGACATCAACTGGTCCTGGATGAGCTCCGTCAACGACGACGAAGGGCCGTGTTCCGCGCAAGTTACCTTTCCCTGCTGCTGCCCACAAGGTTTCAGATAGTTGAAAACCATGAGTCCTCCTCCCCCGCATGCCCTCTCGCACCAACCCCCCCACTTATGCTACTGTTCCTGCTTGTCCTTCCCCTGGCTGACTTCCCGCAACTGCACGAAGAAGGTGAGGGAGACGTTAAGGAGACTGGGTCTGCGGCGCTCGGGAGGTCGGATGCTAGCTGAGGAAATCGATCATGACGCTTGCGACCTTCCGCCCAATGAGTGCGAAATGGCCCTCCACGCTGGTCTAAGCGAAGCCAACAGTTTTTCGCAATGCGCTTTCTGTCTGGCCGTGCTCGCGAGATCGCCCAACTAGATCCTCCGCAATTATGTGAGACGATCTACCACGCACGCAAGCGCTCGTTCTGGCATGGTCCTATCGAACTGCTTAGTCCTAAGCAACTTGGCGAGAGGGACCTGTTCGAAAGTCGAGAAGCTGCCAAGTTTCTTGCCTGCGCTGGGGTGCGATTGCGTTGCGTCGTAAACTTCCTGCCGATGACGAGAAACCCATGCCTGATAGACCTGGCTCAGCACTTCCAAGTCCTTTCCATGATCACCCTCCACAGGGTCTAGAGAAACAGAACCATCATCCTTCTGGCACCTCTCAAGAAAATCAGCCAGCTGCTGCTTAAAGTCTGAGTAACCAGGAGGCTCTCGCACTGGACCCTGAGCGCGCTCGTGAGGGACATGTTCGTACGCTTTTGCAACCAATACCAAGATGTCCTGCGTGGCTCTGCTGAGTGTGAGCCGCACTGGCCAGTGAGGCTTCAGAAAGACATCGAGGTTTGTCTGCACATCCTTGACCGCATGGGACAGCAAGTTCTAGACCATGAAGTAATCCAAGTACGTTTCATGCAGGCCTGGATTGTACGTAGGGATCGAATCACCAGCCTCGTCCTCCACCTCCTCCTCGACCATCCTCATCCTCCTCCTGCTCCTCATTATCCTTCACCTCCTCCTGCTCTTCATCCTTCTCCTCCTCGTCCTCCTCCTCCTCCTCTTATTCCTCCCCCTCCTCATCATCATCCTCCTCATCCTCATCCGCATCCTCTTCATCCGCCTCCTCCTGCCCCTTTTCGCCCGTCCTCCTCCTCCTCCTACTATTCCTCCTCCCCCCCCTCCTCCTCCTCATCCTCCTCCTCGTCCTCCTCCTCCACCACCCCCCCTTCTTATCAGTAGTTATCTCATTCGTCTTCTTTACTACTCACTGCTTATTAGTGTTATTATTAACATGCGTCGTGGTATTAGCATTACTCGTTATGTTCACATGATTCACCGCATCATGACTAGCCTTAATGTTATGATGGTGACGATGATGAGCATGAACAGCGCCACCATGATTAATAGTATCAGCACGAATAATCTCATTGGTAAGAGTATTCAAGTGGTACTACTATTAGTGGTAATGGCAGGAGAACGTCTACTATTATTATCCGTAGTAGTAGTAGTAGTAGCAGTAGTAGTAGTAGTTCAAGTAGTAGTACAAGTAGTAGTAGTAGTAATAGTAGTAGTAGTAGTACCAGTAGCAGTAGTAGCAGTAGTAGTAGTAGTAGTAGTAGTAGTAGTAGTGGTAGTAGTAGTAGTAGTAGTACAAGTAGTAGTAGCAGCAGCAGTAGTAGTAGCAGCAGTAATAATAGTAGTAGTAGTAGCAGCAGCAGTAGTAGTAGTAGTAGTAATAGTTGTAGTAGTAGCAGTAGGAGTAGTAGTGTGTGCATTAGCCTTAGTATGACTGTTAGTCACAGTCTTAGTATTGGTACTATTATCATTAGCCGTGTTATTACGTGTCGCAGTGTTCTTATTAGTATCCGTATGCGTATTCGTAATACTGGTGTGTTTCGTCTACTTCGTCGTCCTCCTCCTCCGCCTCCTCCTCCCAATCGTCCTCCTTATCCTCCCCGCCTCCTCCTCCGCCGCATCGTCCTCCTCCTCCGCCGCCTCCTCCTCTTCGTCCTCCTCCTCCCTCCTCCCTCCTCCTCCCTCCTCCTCCCTCATCATCCATCCTCCTCCTTCTCCCTCCTCCTCCTCCATCTCCATTTCCATCTCCGTCTCTATCGCCATCTCTAGTTCCAACTCCGTCCCCATCTCCATCTCCAGATCCAGCGCCATCTCCTCCTCCTCCTCCTCCTCCTCCTCCGCCCCCTCATCCTCCCCCTCCCCATCCTCCTCCTCCTCTTCCTCCTCCTGCTTCTCTGTCGCATCGCCCTCCTCCCCTTCTTAATAGTAGTCGTCGCATTCGTCCTCTTAACATCATTCGCGGCCCATTAGTGGTATGAATAGCATGTGTCTTAGTATGTCCATGGTTCGCTATATTCGCTTTCTTCACAGCATCGCGAATAGCATTATTATCATGATGCTGGCGATGCTGGGTATGAGCAGTGTCACCAGCACTAGTAGTACCAGTACGAATGCGATGATCAGTATTCGCACTGTAGTAGTAGTAGTTGTTGCTGTTGTTCTAGTAGATGTAGTAGATGTAGTAGTAGTAGTAGTAGTAGTCGTCGCAGTAGTAGCAGCAGCGGCAGCAGTAGCAGTCGTGGTAGCAGCAGTAGTAGCAGTGGCATGACAATTTCTACTACTAGTATATGTAGTCGTGGTATGTTTCTTCATTATCAGATGTATGGCTATTAATTACAGTCTCAGTGCTAGTACTATTGCCATTAGCAGTGTTATAACGTGTCGCATTGCTCTTAATAAAA